TACGCACTTAGGGATTCGGTTCCAGAAAAAACCTTCTTTGCAAAGAAATTCCTGTAGTAATCGACCTAATAATTTCTGAAACTTACTACGGTGCTATGTCTTCTTCAATGAATGGGCTCCTCAGAGACAACGAAACAGACGGATGGTAGTTTTTACTATGAGTTTTACTATGACTACAGACGAATTGTGTTGCCCATCCTTAAAGCAAGTGCAAATTTATTTGCTCTAAGAACCAATGTAGTGTGGATGAAACGTCGACTGTTGGTGTAAAGACTACAATCCTTTTGTTTCCTTGTCTAAGCTGTTAAAGTGTCAATTTATAAAAGACTACAGTTCGATTGACCTTTATGAAAGTAAAATGAAATGTAAATAATTTCATCTGTGTCAAGTGCGTACCTCAGCAACCAGATGATAGAAACATTAATTTAGGAATGATGGAAAAGAGGGGAACTGGAGATGAAAGAAATGGTGGGAAGATAGAAAATATGAGACAATTACTACGATGAATCAAAAAATATGAGTAAGGTAAGACAAGAAGCAACAAGTCAGGAAGCTACCAAAAATTAAGATTGAGCGAAAGTCGAAGGAATGAAGATAAAAATATGACACGTAATCAAGAGGTGGAACGAAAGAAACAAGAAGGCTGGAGAAAACGTGTGCATAGAAAAGAAGAATATGATGCGCTTGATAGCAAAAAAGATCAATGAAAATTAAACCAGCAAACTGAAAAAATAGCAGAGGAAAATTTAACAGAAATGATGGGTAGCAGAAATATAAAAAAGAAGAATAGAATGCATCGATCAATCGGAGGATGACAGTCACTAATAGAGGAAAGCATAAGAATTCACAGAAAAAAGAATGAAAGGAAAATAGAGGGCAGTGGGAATAGAAAGAGGACAGAAATGGATCTGGTGAACGAAGTAGGAATGAAGGCAGAGAAGGAAACGAGAAAAAGGAAGGTGCGTAATTAATTTGCAAGATAATCAGGAATAAACTGCAAGATGCACGAAATTATGCGCATGCGGATGGAAGCGAACGTAGCGTATGACACTGTGATAAAAATAAATACAGAAAAGACATGCATGTGCACAAAGGAAACATTGGCAGCATTAAACAACGAGTAGGAGAAACGAGGTAAGTAGAGATGTCTAAACGAGATAAATTTGAAGAAATTTCTAAGTGCCGAGAACGAAGGCAACGAAAAAAGAACTTCAGAAAAGATAACGGGACGCAGATTAAAAAACGCAGTATGGGAGCCATTTTCGAGAAAACTCGAATTTATGACAGTGGTAACTTTGGAATGTAATTTGCGAAGGCACGAAGAGAGAAATGCAGGAAAAGAGGAAGAATCATTGAAGAAAATATATAATACGGATGGCATTGGTGCAATAATGAGTTAATAGGTAGTTTTGCAGGTTATTGTGTGAGTCTAAATCCAAATGGCCTGCGCAAATTCTCTTTTATTAACTGTTAATTGCCTTGAGCAAGGAAATCACCCCATTGTGTTTCGGGGCCAAAAGGTACGTGTAGCAGGTCATGTCATTTAACTGCAAATAAAACGGCCAGCGTGACGTTTCGACGTGATCATGCTAAACCGTGCTAACTGATGAGCGAGCCTCCCAACTGTCATTCGCCTAGAACACTCAACTGATGACTAAGAAGCAGAACGATGTGTAGATTAAACTTTAAAAAAAATTGTGAACTTTAGATGCCGCACTTGTAACGAACAAAAATAAACGTTTTATCACAAATATTAATCTACGAGAAGAAAAATTTTTACCATCGTGTCTTCCAAGAAACAGCTTTAGGAAACCGGAAAGCAACTTTACAAGCAACTCTTCACAGACGTTTTCTTCGACGGATCATCGGTTGAAAACCGCATCAGTCAATTTGCTGCTGATTGTACCCGTGCCCGCTAAATGAACCTGCGAACTGAAAATTCATATATTTTCTCATCATTCCGGCATCAGCGATAGTGATAATAACTGCTCATGGCATAAATTTGGCTCAGTCGAAAAAAATAGATTGTCTTCCTTTCCATACCTGACAGAGGCATAGAAACCAGTCTCGAAATGATTGCACCGTTGGTTATGGCTTATTAGCACTCTGACAATTAACTAATTTTTGAAAGTGCTTAGAGTACTTATTATGGATGTTATGCTGTCTGCTGAGAAAAAGTTTAAAGTGAAAGTGACACTAGTTTTAAATTAGATGCTGTAAATAACTAACGATTTGCTGCTTCAAAATAGTTGTGAACGAATGGTTCCGGGTAATCAGTTTCCTTCATCTGGCGAAAAAACTTTTTATTCTCCTCCTGAAAATAGTGGAATACAGTCATATGAGGACATACTCAGGTCCAACTATACCAGAAAATCACCATAAAAAGTTATTCTTTGGATTGGAAGGAAACAACTACCAGGAATCTTTGATTCTCGAGCAGTTCTAAGAATTATAGCAGATCCCAAATAGATTTAATCTGAACCTAACCGCCTATCCTAGGACAATTCTGACAGCAACCATCATTGGTAAAATTCATGATGTTTTAAAGTGGGCGGATTTGCGTATCATAAAACTGTAGTGCAGGCTGCGTAAAAGATAAATTTGGCTTTCGGAATCACCCATTAGATCGCAATCATCATCCTCAATAATTTATTTTCTACGGCGTAATTTAATTTTTCATCATTTTCGCGCCTATCATTTTCGTTCGCCTTCGTTACGATTTTCCGTTCTATATCTTCATTACAGTGTTTTAAAATGTACGTGCTAATCTTTGCTACCGTAGTTACAACCTGGTGTGCATTTCTAATTTATGCTGAAGTAAGAACATTCTGAGACATTCCGAGATCTTCACTAAATGAACACATGAACATATGAAAAAATTTTTTCACGCTTCTAAGAGTCTCTTTATCTATTGTTATGAAGAGCTTGTCTCTGTCGCTTCGAACTTAATCACTCACAGATGTAAACGTAAATGTAACTAAAGGATACTTAAAAAAACGCTTTAGATTCACCGACTGAATACACAGTGAGTAAGCAGTACATAGTGGTACACTTGACACGTTACAGTAACCTTCAAATTTAATAGATGGCAATTTGTATGCCAAACGTACACTAATGCAATTTTGTGCGTCTGCGGGTTTTGTGTAGAATAGGTATTTTCAGGTCTGTTTATATAATTTTATGTTTTAATTAAGGAAAAATACAATTAAGTATATTCGGTTGCATGTGTCTCTACATTCGCAGCATATTAGGAATTTTTATTTATTTGGCATAAGCTATGAGAACTTTTATCTTACAAATAATTTTGTCATAGATGAATGTCAAGAATTTTAAATATCATTAGTAAGAACCTTAGGCAGTCACTATTTTGCCAAAATGACTATGACTCCACACATTCATACGAGTGCATTATCTGAGAAGTTTAATTTTCTGTTTGAAAGCGTCAGCTAATTGAAAGATAGGGTGAAAAAAAAGAAACATTTGGGAAACGCTGAATGTCATGAAATACTCAGGTCAATTTTAAGTCCAGTATGGGCAGGCCTAATAAATAGTACAGCTTCTTCGTCGTTGTCCTTAAACTTTGAATTACAAAGACCTTAAAAATGAAAAATAATCGACAGCGTTTCAAACAGTGTTATTAGGGTTCAAATAGAAAATTCCACTTTACTTCATTTATTCATGGTAAACTCAATATTAATAAATATGACTAAAGTAGCAGATTCCGCGTTCATAATTGTCACGAATATACACAGTACCGGATCCAATAAAGGAGAGCAGACATCGAGTACATTTCAAAGATCCTTTCAGCCACAAAAGGTAAGTTTGTGACCGTCTATTATCGGACTCTTCTACACCTCTAACCTAAATTCCTAATTTGTCACTTTGCCATTTTCTTCATGATATAACGCTAACCTGCATGCCGTAACCGAGCAACGTAATATTTTTAAGGCGGTGTCTACAATGTTTTAAAAAACTCGTGTAGTTACGTTTTATCACATGGCAATACTCGTTTGTCTATCTCAGAAGGATGAAAAAGAAATGACTCAGAGGGTTTCAACTCCCACAGGAGAACAGAACCTTCACCGACACAGCAATACTCCTGAACCAAAGCACTACTCGCCAGTAAATCTCTACTGTTTCTCAATCTGGTTATCACATACCGGAACAATGGATAGATCTTGATGCCATGAATCACGGTCAGCTGCTTCAAGCCTATCATTAAACCCGGTTCTTGTTCGGTTAAATTCATTACAAATAGTCTTGAAATCTACAAATAACGCATCACTACAATATAATGTACTGTAATATCTTACTGTTCCCGGCATTTACCACTCTGGCTAAAAAAAATCATGCTTTTCTACTGCGTGAAGAAACGCGGCCAAAAATATTGAATAAGTTGTTACTTCATGCTTAACGACGATTGGAACACGAATAGAAGACGTGGACAACGATATTCAAGGCCGTACATTAACTAGTACAAATGCACCATGCAGCGGCGAAGATAATCAGGAAAAACCAATGGATAAAAACTCCAATTTATTGAGGCAACTACATAAAATGGAAAATATTCTGACATCTAACAGCTTCAGGCAAAAATAGCGCTAAAACCAATGCGAACAATTTAATAAACAGTCAGATGTGACCGATGTCCATAATAGTTCTCTCAAGCTCCCTCGAAACAGATGAGCGATGTAAAAAGACAGAACTGGCATACACAATCAAATCCTTGTTTAAAATCTGGCACTGCCAGCTGTTGAAGCCTTGGTTGATATGTTCATTCAAATTTTATTGTCAGCATCATCCGGCAGTACTTCTATCATCGAAAACGTAGCACAGAAGCAGAGAAGAGCTGCGTTCATATCAAGAAGTACTGCATAACAGTAGGCAACAAGCACCATGTTTTTCTCTTACTCAGCATATCATCAATGGTAGCACATATAATCCAACCAAATCGCATTTTACTGTAGCGAGCAGACGACCCAACCAACTCAACAAAACTTTTACTGCAGCTCTTCCAGTACGGCGGGATCTTTGAGCAAACTGTTACTGAGATCCGGCGGATCTTCGGAAATGACATTGGCCACGGCAACTGTCTCTGGTTCGTTACTCTTCTCCTGCCACGCGTTATTCTTACCGCTGGAGCTATCGCCCCGATGTTCCTCCATGTCGTCCAAGAAACACAACAGATTGTCGTTCTCGTACGTTGGCACCAGAAACCTGGCAACGATCAAAATTTTTAAAACAATGTCTATTATTTACTTATCACTTTAACAATACATTTACTTTTGAAGAAAAATAGTATTATTAACTTTACTTAAGTGGTTCGGCTTCAGAAACAATAGCAATAATTAGTAATATTTACAAACAATACTGGCTGATACTAAAGAAAATCAAAAGACAAAGCAATGAAGAACTACAGATGATAAATTAGATTTTGCTGTCGTGTACTTAAAATGAACAGAAAACAACATAAATCAAATGCACAGTAGGCTACATTTAAAAAAAGCACAGTTCCGCACCTCAATCGAGGTCTTACACGGTTTCCATCGCACCCATTCGTTCAAAAATCACTTGTGCAAGGAACGTGTTTCTGTCCATAAGCTCTTTGCATGTCCCTCTGCTGAAATTCTGATCACGTGTCCGAATCAATCATCGCAACTGTGATCCATCGATCTAGAGAAAGAGCGACCGATAACAAGGGTATCTCTGATTTATGAAGTTTGAATCTCACAAAGCCCGTTTTTGCAATGAAACCCATTCCTGCAGCTTGCATTTTACAGCCCCGGTCTGCGGCTCACTGCCAATACTCATGACCCAGGTTGCAACATGTGCTTTTGACTGTATTGTACACGAGAGTGCATGTACTTACTGCTTGCTGTTGTCACACCGCATTAAGCGGTACTTTATTATCGCTATATTATTACTCTTTAAGTCTGAAACTCATGCCAGTTCTGTCTTATTTCTTCTTCAATAAACGCACGTTTCCAAGAAACAGAAGAATGGTAGTATTTACTCAAGATTAGTCAGGAAAAACAATCTACTAATGGTGTTCATGTAATATGGCTGAAACGCCTGTTGTTCTAGTAAAGACTACCATTCAATGCTACGTCATTTCGTTATTATATCGTTCGTCTGTTTAAATTTACATTAAATCATTAAGCTGTTTGCGATTCATGGTTTGAACTCACCTGCGACAGAAACAGGACAAAAATGTTTCTACAAGTCAAGAGTAGAAGCTTTGTTTACCACGACAGATCTCGAGCCATAAATAAAGTCAAAATTAATGCAACGATTCATTTCATTAACGAAAAATATTTAAATGCACATTAAAAAACGTACTCTTCTTTGTCCCACTGCGAACGATCGGGAATCTTTGCAAAGTGATGCGCGTCGCTCTCAGACAGATGTTTTCGCAGAGCTACCCACGAATGCAAATCGTCTTTCCCACACGAGAAGCACACGCAGTTATGAGACTAAAATATTCAAAATGCAGTACTTAACAGCAAAGCAATACATAGCTAACTTGATCACAAACTGTAATGCAGAAAACTCTCATAGACGAAGGAAACCGATACAAGGAAATGCATTAGTATGCAGAAATATAATGGTACAGCAATTGCTTACGTACTTTCACTTCTTCAGAACCTAAGTGATGGACGGTTCAAAAAGATCCTTTTCAAAAGCTAGTCAAAAACTATTTCGTACAAAAGAGAAACACTAAACACCCGGAAACTCTTCAATAATCTTCTGAAAATACAAATTATAATTAACTACGGTTGTTTCAGATCTTTCAACGACTGGTAATTGATGAGTAGAAATAGTTAAAATCCCGTGAAGGGGAGGAGAATCCGCCATAGAAGAGATGGTTGTACTCGAACTCACCGCGGGAAATTCCGAGCGAGAAGTTATTACAGGGTCGTCCCATAGAACACGATTCAGCAAGGCGAAGGGCAAACGGACGGCTGGAAAGCGTGAACAGTAGTCAAGACCATTTGCCAAGATCGAATAAAATTTTAAGGAGAAACAAAAATGGCTCTAGTCCCTTGTGTGCAACTCAAGTCAGGCAAAGGCGGACCAGACTGCAAGACCGAATAATGACCAATGGGCTTCAGCTGCGACGGACTGATACCCAACAGTCTGCAAGTGCTCTGGACAACCTCGTCTGAGACGAGACCATGAGCTAAAAGAAATGTGGCAGTTTGTAGCGGCAAACCGCATGAGACAGATGTTCGCTGGCATCTAGAATTGGCAGGGATGATCCCGTTAATTAGGGAAAAGGATTAACCAGCTGTTGTCGTATTGTCAAAATTAACGTCGTGAACCATGAGGCCACTGGGTTTACAATTTATGTTGACTTCGTGGGCATTCACTTGCGGCGCGTACAAACTCCTTGATTTCTCGATGTTTCGCTCTGGAAGTATTTGGAAGATCAAATATGGCAGAAAAGGAAGATTACGAAATGCTGCGAAAATAAAACTTGAAAAAAGCCTGCATTTTTAAGTGAAATTTTCCAATAAGTGCAGGGTCATCCTTCTAAAGTTCCATAAACTCGAGACTCACTATGCCGTTTCTCAGCAACATTCCCGTCATTATCTTACAAGAAACTTGGCCACATCACACGAACGATGAGAAAACCGTCGATTTGAAAGACTTCGTATATTACAGATTTGAACGTCCCAGGACACTCTGATCAGCATGACAGGAATCCTCTTTCATACAGCTTGCTTTGTTGTTTTGCATTTGGTAATTTGCCACATTTACATTTTGTCAACTTATAGTCTGCCCCAGAGTTCACTCAAGTAAATTTAACCCTGACCAAATGACTGATTTAAACGATGAAAGAATTTACGGCATGAAAACAAACAATATTAATAGGCAAGCAACAATCGATCAACATCGATAAACAATAAACATTAATTCTCAAACACTTTTCACAATCATAACGTTGGTGCTAACTTTTCTAATGAAATAGTGGACTAATCAAAGTAAAGGATCACATGACAAGGTGAACAGTAGTGAAGTGCACTCTTAAAACTTGAACCCGTCATGAAATTGGAAACAGTCGACAACCAACCAATTATAACGAGGGATTCATTTTTTAAGAGGTACAGGTCAACTTTCTAAGAGAAAACATTCAAACTCTGAACATGAACGGAAGGTTAGATGGGAAACACCATTTCTATTAATCCACAGTCTTTTAGTTATGTTCTTTCCCCTTTGAATACACAAGAACTTTACCATGACTCGCAGAAAAAACGCACAGAACATCAGATGGATTATATCATGAAATTCACAAAATAACATCCCCTGCGAATCTTTTGGTCAAATTCTCGAAATTTCAGCGTTATAACATTCGTTAAACGAGGTAATAATTGGAAACTCATGTATTCAAAGGATGAATTACAGCCAAAGTTTCAAGAAGCGAGGTTGAAGTGAATTCCGGCAAAAGGGGGCTAGAGACTGATATTTGTTTAGGAGGATAAAGATGTCGATGTAAAATTTTTGGCAGCGATGGAAATTTATCAGGTCTTGAAGAAGGAAGTGACAGAAACGGTATAATTAGCTACCCTGCTGCCTGATTTTCACATTGCCCTTGCCAGCTAGTCGCCCGTGTTTGTTTAAAAGGTAGGCGACGAAAAAATTTCATAATTTCTTCTTCAACGACTAAAACATCGACGACGGTAACTACCCAGTTTCACGGTCAGTAACCATTAATCAGTAATTACTGATGACAAAATGCACCCTTTCTTTATACACATAAATGGACAAAATATGCGCATAATCTTCGTAATCAAATTTCAACAGAAGGCATAACATAAGCTTATTTTTAATCTGCCTGTTCAAAACAGTCAGATTACACTGTACGTCTACTTCAGCAAATGCAATAAAAATAAGACAGTACAGCAAGCCTTGCTCGGCATACAATGAAAGAAAAACACGTACCATTTTTCTCACGAAATTAATGAACTTGACTCGGTCATAGAACCCCATTTTGTTATCTTTGATGACTTGTCGCAAATCGAAGTGATGCGTTTCCTAAACATCACCAGTTATAGCTGGAAAGAGCGCAAAAACTTAAAAATTTCCTCACCTTTAAATGGCTTAGAAGACTGTTGCCTTCTTCAAAGCACGAATCGCAGAACAAACAAATTACGGTTTCTCCTGTTTCTTCCGTGTTGTCTTCTTGCCATTCGTTCCACGTCTCTCTGAACGCAAAGAAATTAGTTGAGGACAATTCAAGAACCAACATCCAGTTCAAGTAGCATGAACAAATCCAAATGATCCAGCTAGTAAAGAAGAGGTGTATTGCAAGGGTAAAAAATTCGATATTAACGTTCTGTGGGCAAACATAACCGAGTTACTATCTGTGGTTCGACTACTTTACGGACGGAGTCAAGACATTGATGGAACCGAAAAAGCCATCGAATACATTAAATGTGTTAGCAGCAAGTTATGGTAAAGTATCTTTTACAAGTAATCACTCGCGGACAATACAACAACGAAGCCTCAAGGCTACGGCAGTCAAGTTTTCTTCTAAAAGATATCTTAGAGGTGATACCAGACCAACTGTATATCGTATCTATTTTCGATAATAATCATACCGATTGTAGATGTACATTGTGCAAGTGCAAGCAATCATTCAAAGAGTGCCTCCTGTTTAAACTCACGGAAGCCACAGCCGGCTCAAAAGGACGGGCTGGAACCGAAGTAAAGTTACTATTATCCAAGTAATGCTACTGTAAGTACAAGGACAGACTCCTTCTCGCTCCATACTCCACGAAAGAGAAAAACGAACTTTTAAAATAACTTATGAGAACTGTTTGTTTAGGTTCAAATGCACATAGACGGTAAGAATATAGCATGTACAAAGTTGCACTATATCTATTTTTCTTTAATATGAGAAGTAAACTTGATTCCATTTAGTTCACATAATCAATACATTTAGTAAACAATGAAGAATAATAACGTCGACTAAGGAGGATAAGAAAATTGATCTCAAGATTAGGAATTAAAGGGATCGACGACATTAAGTACATAAAATTTGCAAAACAGCAGAATCATGTACTTTATCAAACTGGGTCAGATATGCATATTGATGAGCTTCTCTTACGTGACCACGGTTTTATGCCTATGACGTAGACCTAAATGATTCAATTGAGTAGAAAATCTAGTAATCAGCTCAGCGTGGTGGAGCACC